CTCAACCTCAGCGGCAACCGGCTGCGCGAGCTGCCAGCCGACCTGGCGCGCTGCGCCCCGCGCTTGCAGAGCCTCAACCTTACCGGCAATTGCCTCGACTCCTTCCCCGCCGAGCTCTTTCGCCCCGGCGCGCTGCCCCTCCTCAGTGAACTGGCGGCTGCTGACAACTGCCTCCGAGAACTCAGCCCCGACATCGCCCACCTGGCCTCGCTCAAGGTCAGCGGGAGCTGCCCGGGCGGGGCGGGATGGGGCCTTGGAGTAGCCCTGGAGAAGGAACCCCTTTCGGGACCGAGCCCTTCCTAGTGACGCCCCCTGGGGCACTGGGCCCAGGGAATTCCTGCAAGGCTGAAAGGAGCCAACTGCGGGGGCATCACCCTGGGAAGTAGTTGCCGCCTTTCAACTCCCCCTTCTCCTGGCCACACCAACATACTAAGTGGTCTCTGAACTCCCCCTCATTCTTTTAACAACTGGACTTTTACACGTGGTACGCTATTTTGTAATTGTTAGCAAACTTGGCTTCTCCCGTAGGTCGGGCGTCGAAACCTGTCTTTTTTGTATCTAATACTTGTGAAGTGACTGGAGTCTTGTGGTGAAGGGGGCACCCTGGGTTTTGCATAATGCCAAATGCTGTGATCTCAAAGATTGTATTTCACTTCATCCTAATAGCATCATCCTAATAGCAGCTTTCCAAGGTAGGGGTGGTTATTGCTGTTTTACAGAAAGTCAAAGGGCTTGCGCAAAGTAAGCGAGTAACTTGGGTTTTTCTCCAGACTAGATTGTCCAGGGTCTGCTTACTAACTAATCTGGGATCCCCAGGCCCCGGGATAATGCGTGGCCTATAACAGGTGCCCGTTAAATCTGTTGCCTAAAAGATAGTGGGGAAGCCACATGGCAGAACCACAACCTAAACCCAGCCGGATGGTCTCTGCATCTCTGCATCTTCTCTTGGTTTCATCCTTAAGGCAGTCCTGCATTTCTTCCTCCATTTTTTTTTTCTTTTTTGAGATGAAGTCTCGCCCAGGCTGGAGTGCAGTGGCGCGATCTCAGCTCACTTCAACCTCCGCCTCCTGGGTTCATGCCATTCTCCTGCCTCAGCCTCCCGAGTAACCGGGACTACAGGCGCTGCCACCATGCCTGGCTAATTTTTTGTATTTTTAGTAGAGATGGAGTTTCACCATGTTAGCCAGGATGGTCTCAATCTCCTGACCTCATAATCTGCCCATCTCAGCCTCCAAAGTGCTGGGATTACAGGCATGAGCCGCCACGCCCGGCTGAGTTTTATTACTAAACCAGTTTCCCCAAAAATTTGGAGGCTGGGGTTTTTCAAGGATAGTTTGGGGGAAGGGGAAGGTGGCTAGGCAATGGGCGCTTACTGCTGATTGGTTGAGGTGCAATCATAGGGGTGTGGGAAATGGCCCTCCTGTTCACTGAGTCACTTCTGGGTGGGGCCACAGGAGCTTATTTTGGTTTCAGGTAGTGCCATTGATCAGACATGCAAAAAACCTGAAAAAGACAGCTCCGAAGGCCAATCTTAGGTTCTACAGTACTGGTAGTGATGTTATCTGCAGGAGTAATTGGGGAGGTCACATATCTTGTCCTCTCCAGAATAATGACTGACAGTCATATATGTTTGCACTTTAGCAGAATTCAGGCTCCTCCATCCTCCTAGCCTAGTGGACCCTCATTAGCTTTACAAAGGCAGTTGAGTTTTACAGAAGGACTATTATCATTTAAACTATAAATGTCTCCCAAAGTTAGCTTGGCCCAAGCCCAGGAATAATTAAAAGTAGTTTGAAGGGCCAGGCCTGGTGGCTCATGCCTATAGTCCCAGCACTTTGGGAGGCTAAGGCAGGCAGATCATCTGAGGTCGGGAGTTGTAGACCAGCCTGACCAACATGGAGAAACCCTGTCTCTAGCTGGGTGTGGTGGCACGTGCCTGTAATCCCAGCTACTCGGGAGGCTGAGGCAGGAGAATCCCTTAAACCCGGGAGGCGGAGGTTGCAATGAATCAAGATCATGTCACTGCACTCCAGCCTGGGAAACAAGAGTGAAACTCTGTCTAAAAATAAAAATTTAAAAAAAAAAAAAAAAAGGTAGTTTGAAGGCTGAAGATGGGGATTGGTCAGATCAGATCTTTTCCACCACCGTAATTTTGTCACTGTTACAGGTTTTGCAAAGGTGGTTTCATTGGCATTTCCTGGAAGAGGCGAGTTCACTGGCATTTTCCTTGGTCCTCGGGGCTGCAGGCATCCCTCTAGGACAAAGGTGTGATGTTGGGTACAACACGGTCTACCCCCACTTTCCCACCTGACAGATACTTTTGGTTTTCCAGAATGTTGATGTAGTAGGCCTATATCTTAACATTGTACCTTACATCATGTAAGCGCCCAGTCAGTTACAATCTTTCTTTTCAAATTCATAGATGTCTTTCAGTATTCAAGCTCTTAAAGTGTTGTGGGCTGGGCATGGTGGCTCACGCTTGTAATCCCAGCACTTTAGGAGGCCGAGGCAGGCAGATCATGAGGTCAAGAGATTGAGATCATCCTGGCCAACAAGGTGAAACCCTGTCTCTACTAAAAAATACAAAAATCAGCTGTGTGGTGGTGCATGCCTGTAGTCCCAGCTACACGGGAGGCTGAGGCAGGAGAATCGCTTGAACCCAGGAGGCGGAGGTGGCAATGAGCGGAGATTGCGCCACTGCACTCCAACCTGGGTGACAAACTGAGACTGCGTCTCAAAAAAAAAAAAAAATTGTGTTTACAGCTCTCTCTAGCACCTGCCCAATAAAGCAGTACTCTTTGTGGTGGCCAAAACAATGTCATTCAAGTCAAAGAGTGTGTCTTGTTTTCTAAATCCCAAAAGAGGTGACCAAGTGCCCTTTCCCCTGGGCCATTCTGTTCCTAAATTTTAGGCTTCCAGTGGCTGTCAGGAGACCTGTTTCTTGGAGGGTCATGCAAGAGCTATTGGAATCCTTGTTGGACTCAGATGTCCTTTTGGGGACCTTTCTGAGGAGTGGCTACCAGAACTGTGCCCAGCAATGTAGCTACACACACTGGAGTTTTGCACACAAAGGCCAATGCATTTGATGTCCTTCCTGGTGCTGTGGGGAGATGGGGAGTGTAGAAAACCGAAAAACTGAGCTCAGAAACGGAAGGCAGGCTGGGTGCAGTGGTTCATGCCTGGCATCCCAGCCCTTCAGGAGGCTGAAGCGGGCAGATCACTTGAGCCCAGGAGTTTGAGACCAGCTGGGCAACGTGGCAAAAACCTGTCTCTATGAAAAATAGAAAAATTAGCTGGGTGTGGTGGTGTGCCCCTGTGGTCCCAGCTACTCAGGAGGCTGAGGTGGGATGAACGCTTAAACCCGGGAGGTTGAGGCTGCAGTGAGCTATGATCACACCACTGCACTCCAGCCTGGGCAACAGAGCTAGACCCTGTCTTAAAGAAAGAGAAAGGCCAGGCACTGTGGCTCACGCCTGGTATCCCAGCACTTTGGGAGGATGAGGCAGGCGGATCACCTGAGGTCGGGAGTTCAACACCGTCTCTGCTAAAAATACAAAATTAGCTGGGCATGGTGGCGCGTGCCCATAATCCTAGCTACTTGGGAGGCTGAGGCAGGAGAATCGCTTGAACCTGGGAGGCAGAGCTTGCGGTGAGCCGAGATGGCGCCGCTGCACTCCAGTCTGGTCAACAAGAGCGAAACTTCGTCTCAAAAAAAAGGAGAGAGAAAGAAGGGGGAGGAAAGGAATAAAAACAGAAGGCATGGGCTCCAGCCCTGCCTCTCTGTGACTGCGTGCCGTTGGCTCTTGAAAGCTCTTTGCTCCTCTGTAGGAAGGCGGGGAGGGTAATGCAGGACACGAAGAGGGAGGGAGACCGGAGGTGGTGCCGGTCATCGTGGCTGCTTGACTCTGAAACCACGAGGCTTAAAGCAGCAGCAGCCCTGCACTCTGGGCTGGCTCCGCTGGACAGTGGACAGTGCTGCAGCTCTTGCTGCTGGTCGCTTGTGTGGCTGTGCTCAGCTGGCATGGGCTCAGTGCTGGGCTGGAGTGGGTGGGCTTCTCCATGTGTCATCTCGGGGCCTCTCCCTCCCTTTCTGTCGCAGGGCTCAGGGCTCCTCAGCACAAAAGCAGCAGCTGCCAGCTCTTCAGGCATTGACCTGGAACGTGCCTGCGGCCACTTTCCTGCGTTTTGTGGGTTAACTAAGTGCAAGCCCAGTTCCGGTCCACTGGGAGGGCTGGCTCTTTAGAGGCCGCCAGAATAACAGCACAGAGGCTTCTGCCTGTCCTTCCGCCGCCCAGAGGGACGAGACTGCAAGTGGAAGCAGCTCAGCCTGGTTCCTGGTGCTCATCCCCACACCCATTCCCCAGGGAGCACCCCCAAGCCTGGGCTGGGACCTGCAGTGCAAAGGCCCTGACCCTCTTTCCTCCCAGCCCCTGGGGACGAGGCCTCTGCTGTCCTGTGGCCTCACCTGTAGCTCTGCCTGCGTGGAGCCTGGCTTCCCCAGCGTCCTGGCCTCAGAGCCACGTGACTTGCTGAGCTCTGAGAGCACCTGGCTGGCCCTCCCCGGCTGCTTCCCGCTGCTGTGGCCTGTGGGACTCAGCTGCCAGCGCTGTGGTGAGCCAAGGATGGGGGCGCGTCACACCTCTCCTGACTGCATTGTAAGTGGCCATCACGCAGGCCTGTGGGGCTGTCCGTGTGGGAACGAGGGATGGGGGGGACAGATGTTACCTGAACAGCTGATGTGGGCAGGACGGTGCCTTAGTAAAGATGTCCTTTCAGGCCCTGGGCCACTCCCCTCCCAAGGCCAAGCTGCACAGGGAGTTCAGCCTCAACACGAACCCTCCTGAAGCCAGACCTGGCTCTCCCCTCCGCTTCCGAGTTTCTCAGTTGCTGCCGGAGGGAGTGGGGCTCACTCAGGGACTGGCGCTCTTTGTTGGGTTGGTTTATGTAAGCCTGTCGCCGCCATGAAGTTAGGATCCTTCCCCAGCAGCAGGTCCCCTGCAAAAGCCATGGGCCCGAAAGGCAGCCAGTGTGCCAGGCCAGAGTCAGGCCCCATGTTGCTGCCATCAGCTTAGCCACCACGGGGGTTGTGTTTCCTGCAGAAGAGTGTCAGCTTCAGGTGACAGGTGATGGCAGTTCGTCCCATCAGGTGTCAGGACGACCCCCAGCCACCCCGTGTAACTCATCCTCCCTGAAGCCAGTGTGCACCTCACATCCTTGCAGGCGCTCCTGCTTACTCCCTCGCACAATTGAAAACTGATGCTACCCTCATCCCACCCTTCATATGTGAAACCTCTGGCTTCATTTCCTGCTGAGGCTGCCACTGGGTGCCCAGCGCTGGGCTGAGGGGCGAGCGTGTGACCTCGTCAGCAGGGCTTCGCATTTCTGACAAGGACTCCCCAACATCTGCGGCTTTGCACCCCACCCAGATGGTGACTCTCTTGCCCTCCCTCTTGCTTTCCTTCCCCCGCTTCCCTTCCTGTCCCCCAACTCCCACAGAGCCTCCAGGCAGGTCCTGAGCTGCTCAGATGCCCTTTCTCTGACGGTCTTTGCCTGGAAGGAAGACCCTTCTCCGAGTGCCCGCCGTTGTCATTCTGGGGACTTACTGCAGGCTGTGGGCTGAACCTGGCTGTGGCTGCAATGGGCGCCCCAGTGGGGCCCTGCCTGCCTCCTTTGCCTCTGCTGCTGGTCCTGGGTCTTAAGAAACTTGCTCTTCGTCAGCTGGGGGAGACGCTCCACTGCGTGTTTGCAGGCAGTAAGGAGGTTTCACTTGAGGGGAACTCTCAAGCTTTTTGACCAAAGCCCCTTAGGGCAGTGCAGAAGCCCACAGAGCAGAACCTCAGATGCCCGCACCCATGACCTTCCAACCCGAGAGCTTCCCGTGGCCTCTGCCAGGCGAGCTGTGCCCTGGGCTGCTGGCCCAGGCTGGTTCTAACGCTGGAGCCAGGGCTCTTGACAGGGAGGCGAGGAGCTCTAGAAGCCTGAGCTCACGGCCGCGCTGTTCCTGGTGCTGCAGGCTGGCGACCGTGTTGGTGATACGGCTCCTGGTACTTTGTGAGACCACCTGGATTCCAGGGGTAGATTGTCTCCCGTCCCATGTGGGGCTGGAAGGGAGGTCTGGGCTGGAGTCACCAGTCCAACCAGTCCACACCAGCCCAGCCCATCCTGTCCTGTCTGGAGAAGCACAAAATGGTGGCAGTTCTGTTAGAGCCGATGGACGCGTAGCTCAGGTAGTGCTCAGCAGCTGGGCTTGGTCTCAGCCCCCGCCTCCCGTTCTTCCCCAGCAGGCAGCACTGCTGCTTGGACTGCCCCTTCTCTCCCGGAGGGCACTTAATCCCTTTTATTTTACACACGCTGTTCTTCCTTGACTGTTAAGTTGTCCGCTTCCTCCCTGGGTCTCTGCTCTCCCTGTGGGAACTCGTCCAGTGCACCCTCCCATGTTTGAGCCGTGCCGCCCTTCCCGCTTGTGAGCACCGTCGCATTTCTGAGCCATGCTGCCCTTACCTGCCGCTGAGCAGCTTGATTGCTTGAGCCAGAGGATTCCGGCAGGTTCCTTTTTTCATTTCCTTCACAACTTGGGGCTTGAGAAATTCCATCACCCCTGCCGTCCATTCCAGGCGAAGCAGAAGGTGTCCTCTGGGTAATGAGCCCCTCCCATCTCTGTTCAGAGTCAATCAGGTCCAGCCCCACCTGTCTCCTCCACACACAGTGTGACTGGGACTCACCAGCCACACCAACCAAGGGTGAGTGCTGGCTTCCGGGGGCCCACATGCTGTTGCCTCCTCTCTGGGGGCAGAGCCGGCACCCAGGCTGCCAGAGACCCCTAAGGGTCAGGCCTCACATCCCTAGCAGGGTCTCCCTCCAGCCCTAGAGGAAGCTGGGACAGAAGAGTTTGCCGGCAGTGCCTGCTCCTCCACCCCGGTGAGGCTGTGGGGCCTGGGTACCAAGCCAGGAAAGAGCAGAGTGGAGGCGGATGGGCCCCTTTTGCCTGAACCCGCAGCGGCAGCCTCATGTCATGGAGGTGGCTGACCTCGCACACACGTTCCCTGCACTGCCCAGACCCTGGGAGAGACATCCTAAGAGTGCATCAGGTGCCACTGTACCCCTTCCATGCTTTCAGTGAGGTCACCTGCACGTTTTGCCAAAGTCTGATCAGTCATGGTCATAGAAAGAGCTTTCCCGTGGGCCACGGGGCTTCCTGGGCATCTGTGTGGCACACAGTGGTGGCCCCGATGCACCTGCCCTGGGTCAGACGAAGGCTGAGAACCCATCGCCATTGAAGTCGGCTTTCCCCTTTCCTTCCCCCCGAGAGCACTGCAGGCAATTCTGTACTTCAATATGAAGAAGAATGCTCTTGAGAGATTTTGCTGTATTTTTTTTTTAGCTCATTTAATTTAAAAAAAAACACACCACTTTGGGGAACCTGCTTCTCACCTGAGCAGTCCTGGCTAGGTCCTGACACGAGGTCACGTTTCACAGCCAGACATCCCTCATCCCTTGTCACCTTTCTGTTCTCTAACCTGATGATTGATCTCAGTGCTGCTGTGGTTGTTGAAGAGGGTGACATGTTTGAGTCAGAAGCTTTTGCAGAGATCACTGTTAACCATGGCTGACAGCTTCCCCTCGGAGGGGCTCCTTGGATAGTGCCTTTGATGTGGGGGTGCACAGCTGGGGAAGCGACTCACAGGTGAATAACTTGTGGTTCCCCAGGGACGTCCCCACAGACAGGCCAGTGGTGGCTCTTGTGAGTGATGAGTGGTCCCCCTGCCTCTGGAGCTGACCCTGGACTCTTTTCCCAGAGTCTGGGGGTCTGACGCATCCTCATTTCTCTTTGCAGTCGTTGGACCTTTCCAACAACCAGCTGAGCGAGATCCCTGCGGAGCTTGCGGACTGCCCCAAGCTCAAGGAGATCAATTTCCGCGGGAACAAGCTGAGAGACAAGCGCCTGGAGAAGATGGTCAGCGGCTGCCAGACAAGATCCATCCTGGAGTACCTGCGCGTCGGAGGCCGCGGTGGCGGGAAGGGCAAGGGCCGTGCCGAGGGCTCGGAGAAGGAAGACAGCCGGAAGAAGAGGAGGGAGAGGAAGCAGAGGCGGGAGGGCGGCGATGGGGAGGAGCAGGACGTGGGAGATGCCGGCCGGCTGCTGCTCAGGGTCCTGCACGTCTCTGAAAACCCCGCACCCCTAACAGTCAGAGTGAGCCCCGAGGTCCGGGACGTGCGGCCCTACATTGTGGGGGCCGTGGTGCGAGGCATGGACCTGCAGCCGGGGAATGCGCTCAAGCGCTTCCTCACCTCACAGGTGGGTGCCCGTGGGGTCCTCAGATGACGAGGACAGAGGTGTGGGATGCCGCAGGCTGGGACACATCCTGGGGCGAGCGTGTCCGAAGGAGCAGCAGTGGAGTGTGGGGCCCAGCCAGATGTCTGTGTGCCTCAGTCTCCTCAGCTCCAAAGAGGGAATAGAGCAGGTTCTGGCTCAGGTGTTGCTGAGGAAGGGGTGAGGCCTCAGTCCCCTCCAGGAGGCAGGTGTCCCCAGCTTGGAGATGGCCTCTTCCCAGATGCCCACAGCCTGGCCTGGTTAGTCCTGGTCACTGGCCCTATCCCTTGCTCCTGCACATATGGGGTTAATGGTTTATCCTAATTTTTTTTTTTTTTTCCCCAGGAGTCTCGCTTTGTCTCCACTGCTGGAGTGCAGTGGCACAGTCTAATCTCCCTGTAGCCTCTGCCTCCTGGGTTCAAGTGATTCTCCTGCCTCAGCCTCCTGAGTAGCTGGCATTACAGGCGCCCGCTATCATGTCTGGCTAATTTTTTTGTATTTTTAAAAGAGACAGAGTTTCACCATGTTGGCCAGGTTGGTCTTGAACTCCTGACCTCAAGCAGTCCACTTGCCTCAGCCTCCCAAAGTGTGGGGATTATGGGCGTGAGCCACCACACCTGGCCTATCCTAATTCCTGGATAGCTTTATTGTAGTTGAAAATCAGGGTTCCAGCTGGTGTGGTGGCTCATGCCTGTAATCCCAGCACTCTGGGAGGCTGCAGCGGGTGGATCACCTGAGGTCAGGAGTTCGAGACCAGCCTGGCCAACATCGTGAAACCCCATCTCTATTAAAAACACAAAAATTAGCCTGGCATGGTGGCGAGCACCTGTAATCCCAGCTACTGGGGAGGCTGAGGCAGGAGAATCACTCGAACCTGGGAGGTGGAGGTTGCAGTGAGCCGAGATCACACCACGGCACTCCAGCCTGGCTGACACAGCAAGACTCCATCTCAAAAAAAAAAAGGAAAAGAAATCAGGATTCCTTGATTTTTTGATATTTTGGTGCGTCTTCTGACCTCTGCAGTAAATGACACATTTTGTTTTATGTAAGATAGTATTAAAGTCATCAGCTCTTGCCAGCACATTCTTCTGTGAGTTGTTTAGGTTTTGGCAAGACTAACTTCCCAGTTGGTGGTTTTTCTGTGACACCTGACCAACTTTTAAAATATAAACCACATCTGTGCCCAGGGGAAAGTCCCGTGTGCCCCGCAGTGGCAGTGACAGTGCATGGCAGGCCGAGAGTGACTGTCATGAGAGTCCTTCTGCCTGCAGTTTAGGGAGGAAGGGAACAGGTACCACAGCCAGGGCTTTACAACTTAAAGCTTAGCCTTTATTTAAAGTTCAAGATGGATTCTTTGAAATCTCAAATATTACGTCTAGAATTAGAGAAGGAAGAAAGTCTGCTGATTGATAGGTTAAGGTAGTTTTCCTGATGGTGATTCCACAAAGTGAGTGCCTGGCTGGCCGGGTGGAGAGGAGTTGGAGGGGAGCCCCGTCTCGGAAAGGGGCGTGGCGGGGTTTTGAAGACCTTGGACTGGGAGGGTTTCCTGGTGCACAGCCCGGCCGAGGGTCAAGCGTGAACCCCTCGCTGGGCACAAAAGACCTCGCTCATCACTGCTCCTGTGTTACAGACCAAGCTCCACGAAGATCTCTGTGAGAAGAGGACGGCCGCCACCCTTGCCACCCATGAGCTCCGCGCTGTCAAAGGGCCCCTGCTGTACTGCGCCCGGCCCCCACAGGACCTCAAGGTGTTGCAGCCTCCTTTGCAGGGTCTGCTCAAGGGTCTCCTTGGTGTCGAAAGACGCTGTGCTGATACTGGAGCCCGAACCTTTTCTTTTCTTTTCTTTTCTTTTTTGGAGATGGAGTTTCGTTCTTGTCACCCACGCTGGAGTGCAATGGCATAATCTCAGCTCACTGCAGCCTCTACCTCCTGAGTTCAAGTGATTCTCCTGCCTCAGCCTCCCGAGTAGCTGAGTTTACAGGCATGCGCCACCATGCCCAGCTAATTTTGTATTTTTAGTAGGGACGGGATTTCTCCATGTTGGTCAGGCTGGTCTCGAACTCCAGACCTCAGATGATCCACCCACCTTAGCCTCCCAAAGTGCTGGGATTACAGGCGTAAGCCACCATGCCCAGCCTGAACATTTTCTTTCTTTTTTGTTTTGAGACGGAGTTTTGCTCTTGTTGCCCAGGCTGGAGTGCAATGGCACAATCTCGGCTCAGCACAACCTCTGCCTCCCACGTTCAAGCGATTCTCCTGCCTCACCCTCCCAAGTAGCTGGGATTACAGGCATGCACACCACGTCCAGCTAATTTTGTGTTTTTAGTAAAGACAGGGTTTCTCCATGTTGGCCAGGCTAGTCTCGAACTCCTGACCTCAGGTGATCCACCCTTCTCTGCCTCCCACCGTGCTGGGATTACAGGCATAAGCCACCGCGCCTGGCCTGAACATTTTCTTTAGAGTAGAATCCGATGCTGTTCTTGCAAAGACATGAAATAATGAAACAGGCCACGTTTGCAGTTACTGGAAGCGGTGCACAGCTGTGAGAGGACTCGGTGGAGGAGCAGTCGTGGGAAAATGGTTTCCTTCACTCGCTCACTACCCTATAATCAGAAATCTTGGTCTTTGTCCCGATTGTAAAACCCTGTGCATGGGGTTGGCAGTAGTGTGAGTTGCTGTATCGTGGTGCTATCCTGGATGTTGAATTCTGTGCAGTGCATGCGGTCCCGGCTGCTCAGGCTCTCTCTCCTCTTTTGGCCTTGTGAGGATGGCAGACCTCTGGAAACGGTTGTGCATGGCTGGGTTTGAGGTTAAGCCCTGTCTCGGTAGGATCGGTGTGTTTGGGCATCAGGTCTCCCAGGGATGCTGCGATCGCAGCCTGCATGCAGCTTCTTGCTGCGTGGTCCCGTGGGATTCTCCCTGCCTGCTGTAGAGATGAATGAGGGTGGGAGTCGGGAGGGCTCGTGGAGGCTTAAGGCTGTAATCGACAGGACGGGCGAGTTCTGTGGCTGTGACCCTAGTGGAGTTTATGGGTTTCTGCCCAATAGATTGTTCCCCTGGGGCGGAAAGAAGCCAAGGCCAAGGAGCTGGTGCGGCAGCTGCAGCTGGAGGCCGAGGAGCAGAGGAAGCAGAAGAAGCGGCAGAGTGTGTCGGGCCTGCACAGGTGGGCAGCGCGCCTGGTGGGGTGGGGCCGGGCGTGGGGGGTGCAGCATGCCAGCCTCCACTGAGTGAGTTTGTGCTCCTCAGGAACACCTAATGCTACCAGAGCCGGAAGCTTCTTACAGGGTACAAAGAAAGAAAGCATTCTCTTCTGAAAGGAGACGTTGTGGAACCAGTCTGTCATCTAGATGGCCCTGACGTGAGGGAAGTGGAAGGTGTTAGAAGCGGAGGTATTGGCCATTCCGCAGGAGGCGGGTTGCCCTCGGGATGGGACAGGACAGGATAGAGTAGAAAGTAGCCATTAGGAAACGGACATAAATGCCAGCCCAGTCCGTGCCCCGCGCTGCTGGGTGTCCAAGTCAGGGTCCTTGGCGCTGCTCTAAGCAAGATGATCATCCATAACTAGCCCAGCGATTTCTGTAAACACAGGCTGCAGAATACTTTGTTCTCTGAGGCTTGTTATGCTTTGGCCCTTGATATTACACTTCATTTGTGGAAAGAACTTTTTGATTCGTCCAGTTTACCCTTTAGGTATGTTTTCAGGTGTGTGCCTTTTTTTTTTTTTTTTTTTGAGATAGAGTCTCACTCTTGTCACCCAGGCTGGAGTGCAATGGCACGATCTCAGCTCACTGCAGCCTCTATCTCCTGGGTTCAAGCGATTCTCCTGCCTCAGCCTCCTGAGTAGCTGGGATTACAGGCGCCTGCCACCACACCTGGCTAATTTTTGTGTTTTTAGTAGAGACGGGGTTTTGCCGTGTTTGCCAGGCTGGTCTTGAACTCCTGACCTCAGGCGATCCGCCTGCCTCGGCCTCCCAAACTGCTAGGATTACAGGAGTGAGCCACTGCGCCCAGCTGTGCCTTTTTTCTTCTTTGTTTTTAAGATGGGGTCGCGCCATGTTGCCCAGGCTGGAGTGAGGTGGCCAATCATAGGCGCAATGCCACTACTGATCAGCACCGGAGCTTTTTGTCCTGCTCTGTTTCTGACCTGGGCTGGTTCACTCCTCCTTAGGCAGCCTGGTGGTCCTCCGCTCCCAGGAGCTCAACATAGTGATGACGGACTTAGTGTAGACACTCCATGGGCGCAGCACAGCCCAGCAGACTCCTGGGCCCATGCAGCCCTCCTGTCTCAGCCTCCCGAGTGCTGGGACCACAGGCACATGCCACCACACCCTGCACAATATATCTTTCATAGTTAGGCCTATCATTTGTATTTCTTCCCACACAGATACCTTCACTTGCTGGATGGAAATGAAAATTACCCGTGTCTTGTGGATGCAGACGGTGATGTGATTTCCTTCCCACCAATAACCAACAGTGAGAAGACAAAGGTAGGGTGGCATGTGTGTGAACTTGGTGTGTCTTCTAGGTTGTTCCCTGTAGAATTAACACAAGTCTGCTAGGTGCGGTGGCTCACACCTGTAATCCTAGCATTTTGGGAGACCGAGGTGGGCGGATCACCTGAGGTTGGGAGTTCAAGACCAGCCTGACCAAAACGGAGAAACCCTGTCTTTACTAAAAATACAAAATTAGCCGGGCGTGGTGGTGCATGCCTGTAATGCCAGCTGCTTGGGAGGCTGAGGCAGGAGAATCGCTTGAACCCAGAAGGCGGAGGTTACAGTGAGCCGAGATTGCGCCTTTGCACTCCAGCCTGGGCAACAAGAGCGAAACTCTGTCTCCAAAAAAAAAAAAAGAAAGAAAAAGAATTAACACACACAAGTGTCTGCTGCATTGTGAGGTCTCATTGTGTGCAATAGAAAACGCAGCCTGAAGGTGACAAAGGCCCTGGCTTCTCAGAGCCATGGCTCACTGTTCATTGTTCATGCTCGGTGCTGCACGACGTCCTGGGATGTATTTTTTTGTAGAGATGGGGTCTCGCTGTGTTGCCCAGGCTGGTCTTGAACTCCTGAGTTCAAGAGATCCTCCCACATCCACCTCCCAAAGTGCTGGGTTTACAGGTGCGAGCCACTTTGCCTGGCCACACAGTTTTGTAGCGTTTTCCTCAGAACAAATGATGCAGTTGCTGATGTGTACATTTGATAACTGTCTTTTCCGAAATCTTTCTTTAAGGTTAAGAAAACGACCTCTGATTTGTTTTTGGAAGTAACAAGTGCCACTAGTCTGCAGATTTGCAAGGATGTCATGGATGCCCTCATTCTGGTGAGTGCGTGGTGGCTCCTCCTGAGAAACGCGTTTTGAGCGTGAGTGGTGCTCTGCTCTGACTTACCACCCGTCCTGATTGCGTCTTTCTTGCTTACTGCATTGGCTGACAGCAGCATGTCTTCCCTGGGTCACCTCTCATCTCCAGGTTAAAGAGGTATTTTTCGTTTGCAGAAAATGGCAGAAATGAACAAGTACACTTTAGAAAATAAAGAGGAAGGATCACTCTCAGATACCGAAGCTGATGCAGTCTCTGGACAACTTTCAGATCCCAGAACGAATCCCAGTGCTGGAAAGGACGGGCCCTCCCCGCTGGTGGTGGAGCAGGTCCGGGTGGTGGACCTGGAAGGGAGCCTGAAGGTGGTGTACCCGTCCAAGGCCGACCTGGCCACCGCCCCTCCCCATGTGACTGTCGTGCGCTGACGCCAGGACCGCCTGTCCAGCCTGTCCGCGTTTGTTTGGCCTGTTTTACCGAGGTTTCTATGTGGCAATGCTGAATTATCCATTAGATTTTCACCCGTTTTTTTTGGTTGGTTGGTTTGAGATGGAGTCTCACTCTGTCGCCAGGCTGGAGTGCAGTGGCATGATCTGGAATCACTGCAACCTCCGTCTCCTGGGTTCAAGCGATTCTCCTGCCTCAGCCTCCTGAGTAGCTGGGACTACAGGTGTGTGCCACTAGCCCAGCTAATTTTTGTATTTTTAGTAGAGACGGGGTTTCACCATTTTGGTCAGGATGGTCTTGATCTCTTGACCTCATGATCTGCCTGCCTCTGCCACCCCAAAGTGCTGGGATTACATGATCCTCCTGCCTCAGCCTCCCAAAGTGCTGGGATTACAGGTGTGAGCCACTGTGCCTGGCCCGCCCCAGCATTTTTTAAGATGTATGTATTCACTGTTCTGTTTTTCCAGGTGATTCTGTCGTAAAGTGATGCTATGTTGTTGTGACAACACCAAACTGATTTTACGGTTTTTATGGAATTATTCAGATGTCAAAATTAACTGTTCAAAATGTTCTGAATCATGTAGCTACGTGGCAGGTAACTGTTTATGGGAGAAAACACTGTACAGTCATGCACCACATAACAGCGTCTGGGTCAGCGACGGACACTTCCCTGACAGCGGGCCCACGACATTCTTGTGCAGTGTTTGGAAGCCTGGCCTGGGCTCTTGGCGTTGGCCTCTTGTAGATCAAGTAGGGGAAGTGATTGATGTTCAGTCATGCTGCTGGGACACTTGCTTTTCCAGATGAAAAACACATAAATAAAACTACGCGCACCATCAAGGCTTGTGTAAGGACACTCTATGATCACACAGCAGCGGCTGAGCACACATTTCTCATGTCACTAAGCGACACATGACTGTCACTGGTTTGGAGACCCGAAAACTTAGGAAGCTAACCAATGTGCATTTCCTTGAATGGCACAGTCAGTTTCTATGACACAGCATCTTTTAAAACCATATCATGTCAGGATGCAGCTTGGCTGGGCAAGGACATTGGGTTTTTCAGCTGGCAGTGATCATAATCTCTGGGGAAAGTTTTTTTTTTTTTTTTTTTTTTTTTTTGAGACGGAGTCTCGCTCTGCCAGCCAGGCTGGAGTGCAGTGGCCGGATCTCAGCTCACTGCAAGCTCCGCCTCCCGGGTTCCCGCCATTCTCCTGCCTCAGCCTCCCGAGTAGCTGGGACTACAGGCGCCCGCCACCTCGCCCGGCTAGTTTTTTGTATTTTTTTAGTAGAGACGGGGTTTCACCGTGTCAGCCAGGATGGTCTCGATCTCCTGACCTCGTGATCCGCCCGTCTCGGCCTCCCAAAGTGCTGGGATTACAGGCTTGAGCCACCGCGCCCGGCCCTCTGGGGAAAGTTTTAATGTGACCTTAGAATTGGCAGAATTGCGTCTCTTCATAGTGCTGCTGGATTGCCTTGTGGGGGTGGAGATGTGGAGACCCCTCCAGGCGAGCAGCCCGTAGGCCGAAGGCAGTGGCAGCCCCTCACGCTGGCTCAGCGGGGCCGAGCAGAGGAGCACGGCGTCGGTGGGCTTTTCATCGTATGCACGCTAGTGCCACAGTAACAGGCAGTTGGAGCCCCATGAGTGGACCGGACAGCTCTGCTTGGGAAGCATCGGCAGTCAGCTGAGGGACAGATGGTAGCAGTAGCTGGAGGACGCTTAGGTTTTTGAGCCAAAAATCTTCGTTTGTGCGCCAGATGGATGGGTCCTGGGCACCTTCTGTTGTAGACGTTTCCGTCATGAATGTCCAGGTCAGACCCCCATGTCCACGTCTTCATGTATGTCCAGGCACACGTGCGTGCACACCACTCGCGGGAGTCAGTGTGCTTGGCTCACGAGGACCCGGCCAGCCACTGCGATGGCTTTCACAGACCCTACTGCTTTACGGTCTGGGTGCCATGTGAGAAGCGGACTCATCAGCTTTATCAAATGACACCATTTGTTCTCTGTTCAGTGTCTCGATTTCTGTGTCTGTAGAAATGACTGGCAATTTTGGGGAGCAGCTGCAAGAGCCCCACAGCCCACACACCTATAGTCGTCAGAACCAGAGAGGCCCAGGGCCCTGTGCAGTGGGCAGACTAACAGCTGGGGGGCTCTTCAGAGCCTTGCAGGATGTGGGCCAGGCTGTCTTGAGACCTGGACCCACTTATCTGGTCACTGCCAGGCCTTCCTGTCTGGCCCACTGTGGGAGGGAGGGGACTTCAGACAGGATGAGGCCCACACAGTGCCAGCCGGACTGCTGTGGGTGTGTCAGACTACTGCCTTGCCTTGTGTCCCCCAAAACCTAATTTCCTGCTGCTCTGGGCAGTCAAGGCAGATGCCACAGTTGGCCAGGAGCCTGCCTTGTTGGAGGCTTGAGGTGGCACGGGGGCTTCCCCAGGCCAGGACTCTGCTGGAGCTCTGGGGCTGGGGACCCCAGACAGTTGCTCAGAGAGGTGATTTTGGGCTGCCATGGCAGAGGCTGCCCTTTCTCTGTATGGCCCGGCCCAGTCCGGGAGGGAGGGATGCTGGAGCTGCTATCTTGGCTCCCAGGGACTTGGTGTCCATGCTGTAGCACATCTGAGGACAGATGAGGATGAGGGTGCCACGTGCTGTGCCCTTTCCTGATGCAGCTCGTGATGCGTGAGATGCTGGAAATGTATTTAACTCGCAGCACAGGTGTCTCTGATGTTTTCTTCACCCCATCCCACCCCCCCACTCACTAATAAAAACAGCTCCGCTCCTGGCCCAGCAGATCCTTTCCCACCGGCGTCGCCAGAGGCTGTTGCTCAAAGTGTCACAAAACTCACTCTAGCCCAGTGGTGGCTTCCATGTGGGGAGGCTGAGGGCCTCCTGTGCCTACCCAGATCTTGCCAGCAGGGAGCACGAGGCACCTGCCACTGTCACGGGGAAGCTAGTACCCTTGACCAGGGGTCCTGGGAACCGGCCCCACCCTGCTGGGTCCCTGCCTGGAGCACGAGATGGACCAGAGGTGTCAGGCTGCCTGGATACCCCAGGTGCACACTCAGAGGAGCCCAGGCCTCAGAAGCACCCACAGCAGATCCTCCTGTTCACAAGTCTCTGGGAGGGGAAGCTAGGCGGCCAGTTAGCAGGGTCCTGTCCCATCGTCTCCCCAACCCTCCCAGAGCTGTAAGGACACTGCCCAGTTCAGCCTAGGTCCATGACCCTGGGATCCTGGGGCCGGAGCTGCTGTTTCCACCATGGCCACTTAGGGGACAAGTAGTGTGCCTGAGAGGCAGCTGTGGGTAACTTGAGTGCCCAGCCCACTGAGCACCCGTGGGTGTCTGCCTGCAGCCTCCCCTGCTGGGGCTGGCAGGGCTGCTGGTGGAGCCCCTGGCTGAAGATGCTGGGCCCCTGCCAGGGCGGAGCCAGATGCAGCCAGCCAGATCTAGGGCAGACCCTAACATCCGCCCATGCCATCTGCTGCCGGCCCCTGACAGGGCGGGGAGGAGCATTTGTGGGGGTGCGTGGGCATCACTGGCGTGTGGGACCCATGGCAGAAGCACCAGGGCCACTAGAACTGGGACAACTCCCATCCCCATCCTGTACCCTCATCTGGCTCCTGGGCCACACCAGTTCTTGGGGATGCCCAGCCCCAGGACCCCCAGATCAGAATGCTGCCTTCTGGGGCCCATGCAGCCAAACTGCAGCAGCCCCAGGGCAGTGCTGTCCTGTGAAGCTGGGCTCCAGGGAGGGCACCAGCTGGCCACTCCCTTCCCTCCTTGGGAGTGGCAGGTCAGAGGTAGGGATCTCTTTTTGAAGACTTGTGCCAAGATCCAGGCTGTCATGGCTGGGGCAGACAGCGGCCCATCCAACAACAGGCTCCCAGGAAAGCATCATTGCCTCACACCCCAGCCCAGGACAGGCCCTTGGGCTTCCTTCTCAGGTTTGGAGCCAGGAGGCTTGGGGCAGTGTGCAATCAGCCTTGCAGCTCCACCTGCCACCGTTCTGGCCCCAGGCAGACCTCAAGTGGGCCTGCTCGCCCAAAAGGCGGATGGTGTGGAGTCGGCCTCCCCACCAAGACTGGCCCAGCCCCTCCTGTTTACCTGACTTGAAGCGTTCCGTGGGACCTGGCCTGGGGCAGGCGCAGCCTCAACCCTCTGATAACCTCATCTGGTCCTGTGGCCCCCCTTCTCTGTGCCCGTGAGGATAGTAGCTGCCCGTGTCTCCCACCCCTAGCCCTGGGGTGAAGACCCCTTCCCTAAGATGTTTCTGGCAAGGTTTTTGGGGTCTTTTGTGGTAGGTGAGAGCCAAATACACGACTTGGGAAAGACCTACGAAGAGAATGGAGGTTGGGACCAGAGGCTGAGACTGGAGGCCAGGATGGGGGTGGAGGGGAAATGGGACTGAAGTCCCTGGGACACAGCTGAGGTCCAGCCACATCCGGGTCCCCAGGCCTGCTGTGTGTCCTCGCCAGAGGGCCCAGTTGGGAGGGGTGCATTCCTACAGCCACATGGGAGGGGGCCTGCCCTGGGGAAACAAGCCGTTCCCACAGCCTTCCTGGATGTTACGCCTGGTCGGGCAACTATGGCAAAGGCTGTCGTCCACAGTTCATTCAACAGACGCTTAATGCCTCTGTACACAGGCTTTCGGCCCACAAGGAGTACTTGGAGGGGCCAGTCCCCTCCCTGGGGAAGGGAAGGTAGACCTGGGTCCTCCCTGGCAGCCACCAGCCCCAAGAGGATGCACCCAGCCCCTGCGTATGGTGGACTGCCTAGGAAGAACTGTGCCCACTTTACTAAGGAAGACGCGGTACATCTGAGACAAGGGCAGAGGACACATAGCCCTTATTGGAGCCATCCTTACAAAACCAGGAGTCAGAAAGGCCCAGAGAGGACAGGGGCCTGCCCAGGCCACACAGCTCTGCACACTGCTGCCATGGAGGAAAGCAGCAGGGAGGATCCCACCCCGGGGGGCTGCCAGGGAGGTGGGCTCAGTTTGTCTGCCCAAGGAACCCCTCATCCTGGCCTTGACAAGGGAAGGGGCTGAGCCCTGGGTGAGGGGAGGCTGTGGTTGGGGGCTCCAGGCCGCAGGGCCCAGCCTGGGTGTGTCCTGCAGCTCCTGCTGAGGCTGGACCCAGGCCTCCTAGCCACGTGTGCCCAGCTGTTTGTCTGTAGGTCCTTTGAAGGACTGTGTGCCAGGTGTGTGGTACGCCCTCGTGTGGGGCCTGTGACAGCTGTGCACCTGGTGTCTTCGTGTGCGTGGCTGCCAGCGCGTGTGCCGTTTGCTGTGTGTGCCGTGGGGTCCATGTCTATGTGGGGGTCCATATGGACAGGGATGTCTCTCCAGGCCTGTGCTCTCACATGTGCAGCCAGCCCCCAGCATGCACGCGGGGCACCATTTATTTGCACTTGTGCACATAGTAGCCAGTGAGGTAGCCCAGGATGAAGATGATCCAGAAGAGGGCCACGCCGCCCAGCACCTTCATGGCGATGCCCAGCTTGCCCGTGCACAGCTTCTGGGAGATCCTGGGGTGAGAACCAACTGGAGGTGAGCCCCAGGCCAGGGCCGCGTGAGGGGCCCCTAAGTGGACTGTGGCCATTGGTGCGGGTCAGGGGGAGGGGCCTGGCGCTCTGCTGGAGTGAAGAGGAAGCTCTCCCCACCCACGGCCAACCAGAGGGAAGGCCAAGGGCTGCGGTTTGCTGAGCCGCTGGACCGTGGGCTCCCAGCCAGGATGGGGTGGAGGGTGATGGGGCTGGTGGCAGGAGTTAGCGCAGGCATCTCTGTGGTTGGGCAGGTTAGGCACCGGCCTACTGTGGCTGGCAGGCCGCCCCCAGGCCCCTTACCCGCGGCAGCATGAGGCCTCTTCTGTGCTGGACACAGCCCCTAGGCTGACTCCATCCTTGCTGCCGTCCTCCCACCTACTATAGTGGACGTGGCTCTCCTGGGGCTGCATGCTGTGGGGCTGCAGCAGGAGAGGTGGGGCCTTCACAGTGGTGAGATCAAGACAGGTGGCAAGGCTGTGACTTCACTGTAAAACAACCGAATGGAAGGCAGTAGTCAAGACCCCCTCTGGGGCTGCTGTTAGGGGAGGGGCACTAAGGGTCAGGGGCTGGCTCCCTCACCGGCTCTGTCACCTGACTTAACAGGCGACCTAGACACAGAGTGGTTGAGTCATTTGCCCAGGGTCATGCCGGGAGGATGGGACCAAGCCGCTGGAATTCCATCTCAGGCCAAGCCCTAACCTCAGGCATGTGGGAGGCCAGTGTTTCCTTCCAGCACGCTCCAGGGGCCTCCCTTCCTGGGTGCTTTTATCAGAGAGCCTGCACAGCCTGCCACCCTCAAGAGACAAGGACATTGTGGCCCAACCCAGGATGCAGCCCCTGATAACTGTCCCCCTCCTTAACCCTGCCCGATAAGGCGCCTGCTGACCTCTGGGGAGGCTGGCCCAGGGAGGGTGGGATGGGGCAGGGCAGCAGGTCCGGGGCAGTGGCTACAGCTAGACCGGTCCCTGCCTGGGGAGGATGCGTGGCTGGCCTCAGGCAGTGGCAGCAGCTGTGTCCTTGGCCTGTGTGGGTTGCAGCCCCTCCCCCACCCACACCTCTGGGAGGGCTGGGGCTTGGGGGGCACGATGCACTGAGCACAGGGCCGGGGTGGATTCAAGGCCTCAGGGAGTCCCTACAGAGACAGGAGGGTCGTGGGCTGGGTGGCTGCAGGACAGCCCAGCACTCAGCTCAGTGCCTGGCAGTCCAAGTGCCCACAGAGGCCAGGAGACCGCAGGGACTGAGTAGGAACTCCAAGCACTAGCACAGCTGCCCAGCCAGCCTGAGCCAGCCCAGACTCTAATCACCTCCTTTACGCTCTGGCCTGTTTCGACCTCCTATTTACCTAAGGGGAAGGAGGTGCAGGGGTTGGAGGGGGTGCCAGAAATTGACAACCCACCCAGGCTGTGGGACTGGGGTTAGCTCTCCGGTCTGCTAGGCCCCCAGTGTCTCTTCTCAGCATCTGGCCCCCAGGAGTGGGGTCCTTGGGCAGGCAGTGGCAGGCCCCTCACTTCTAAGGGCTGAGGCTTTGCTGGGCCCCCTCCAGCAAGGAAGGCTGACCTTCCTCCCAGGTCATCGGCACAGAGGTCTAAAGACACAAGAGCCACTCCCCTGCAAGAAGCCAGCTCAGAAATTCAGGCCCCAGGCAGTTCTGAGACTCCTGGGGCACTTCCGTGTCTGCCCTTCCCCAAAGCCCAAAGAGGCAGAGGGAGCTGTCTCAAAGCCATAAAGTGTGCCTTCGGTGGGAGGCCGGGCTCAGTGCAGCCTGGCACTCAGGCCTGGGGAGGCCCAGCCTCTACTGGAATATGGGTGCTGTTTTCCCAGAGCATGTGGAGCTGTCAGCCGCCTACCCAAGTTTCACGCCCTCTTACCTGGTGTGCAGAATTCCAGTCTGGTCCCAGCAGCAATGTGCCAGCCCCTTAACAGCCACGACCGGGGTAAGACAAGCTTAATACCACCACCCCTGCGTTCCCAAGTCACCCAGCTGTGGGCCAGGAGCCAGGGTGCAGCAGGGGATGGGGAAGCTTTTGCTTCTGTGAAAGAAGCAGCAGCCACCTCCTTCTTCTAGCCTTGACGTGATGGCTGGAGCTGCAGCAGCCACCTTGCAACCCGACATCCACGCAGCATTAGTCCCAGGAGTGCTGAGTCTCCAAGTCCACTGCAGCAGCCCATCATGGGCCTCCCGGTGGGACGGGTTAAGCCCAGTGTATTCAACTCTGGGATCCTGGGTTCCTGTCTTGCTGACCTAGATCGCGTGGTTCCCAAGTCACCCCGGTGGACAAAGCCACCAGAGCCGGCCCTTGAGGCTGGCCTCCCTCACTTGCCCAGTAAACGTCTCTCCACACTCACGTGAGAGTCACAGCTGTGGCGGCACAAACCCATCGGGGACGCCCCTCCAGGCCCTGGGAGCCTCCCGGGTCCTGGCACCTCCTGGGGGTTTGTGAGTGCAGGAAGATCCTAGGTACACAGCGGCCCCTGCATAGACCTCTTCACCACAGCGCCTCAGGGCCCCACACTTACCCGGACAATCTTGCCTGAGGGCCGGGGCCTCTGTGCCAGGTTGAGGTCAGAGCCTGGCCGCGGCCCGCACCTCCCAGAGGGGCAGGTCGTGGGCTGAGGTTCGGTAGACGCCTCGAGCTTAAAAAAATAACCGGAGAAGCAGCCTTGCTAAGGGCTGGGAAGGGAAAGTGGCTGAGGTCGGGGGTCCCCAGCGGCCACAAGGAGCCGGGCGGGCAGTTCCGGGCCTGGCCCCGCTCCGCGGAT